GTTATCTAGAAGGCAGTATGCAAGGCTGCTGGGGAAGGGACATTTCCTCGGTGGGACCACTCTGACCCAGAAAAGAATTTCTGCTCTTAGAGGAGAAATAAATCCCACCCTGTAGCCACAGACCTTCTCACCATATCATTCTCTTGGGTTTTTAAACTCCTAGCCCATAGTCTCATGTTGAAAATACCTTTTATGTTGAGAAAACATAAAAAGGAAGAAGAGGAAGAGGAAGAGACAGATGAGGAAAAAAGAAGAGAAAAAATGCACCAATTTAAGTTGAAAATATAGGGCCAGAGAGCAGATCCTTGAAGAAGGGACGTTAGAAACTTAGATTCCCATTTTGCAGATGAGGATAACAGAGAAGCGGAAACAACTTGAGTTCTGTTTTAAGTGATAGAGTTCAAGGGGAAGGCATTTGTTTAGTGGCCTTAAAGCATTCAGGCATTATTAATTATTAATTCAAAGGAAACTCTTTCTGTTTCTGTATATTCCCTATCTTCATATCCCTAAATAGAAATATTCTTTAGGACTCTGCCCTCAGCCCTTTTTCTCAACCATTCTACCTTCTCTCTCTAGTTGATCGACCTTATATTTCCTTTAGAAATTCACTACTTAGGTTTCAACATAATCACCAGGTAACTAAATTCCTAATCTCTATTTTCACTTCTGGAAATCAGTACTCTAGCCACACATTTTCCAACTGAGATGATCAGGGAACAAATCCTTTAGACAGAATAATTCTACCCCCACATGTGGTAGAGTAGCCTTCATATGCAGTTGCGAGACCATTGGTCATTATATTTACAATGTGTCTTTCCTGCCCAGGAGACAATAAATAATTCCATCATACTATACCCTCCTTATACAGAACACCCTGAATTTCATAAACACTATGTTTCACATAAATCACCTCATCTAATTATCAGATTACCAGATAATCTGCTAACCCCCCATTTTACACATGGAGAAACAGATTCAGAAAAGTTAAATGACTTTGAAGACAAAATAATATTTTATACATTTCTTATTCCTTATAAAGACTTAATATATAATATATGCAGATAATAAATATCTTTCAAATGAACAAAAATGACTATTAGCTGTAGATCTGAATAATATCTAGAAAAAAAATGTCAGTGAGCTTTCTCCCCTTCTATTTGGACACCCAACTATAATTCCAACAATCTCTAGGAAATTGTGTCAATCTTACACCCCAGGGAATGAGGAGTTCTTTTAAATGATGGTTCTCAAAGATGTTCCACAGGTCTCTGGGTTCCTGAGACACTATCAAATGGTCAAAAAAGCCAAAGTTATTTTCATAATAGTACTAAGATGTTACTGGATTTTCTTACTCTGCAAAGTAGCAAAGTTACTCTTGTTACTCTTGTTTACCCACAGTACAAAAACAGTGGTGGGTGAAGGGGTTGGGGCCATCACACCAATACAGGCAGTGGTGCTGAATTATACAAGTAGTCAGTTTCACTTCAGAATGGTCTTGATGAAATTATAAATGTTGCCCATTCTTTTTTTTTAAGGTTTTGTTTATTTATTTGACAGAGATCACAAGTAGGCGGAGAGGCAGGCAGAGAGAGAGAGGGAAGCAGGCTCCCTGCTGAGCAGAGAGCCCGATATGAGGCTCGATCCCAGGACCCTGGGATCATGACCTGAGCTGAAGGTAGACAATTTAACCCACTGAGTCACCCAGGCACCCCTATTGCTGTTTTTTAAAGCCAGTAGTATGAAGTGGTAAAAGAGGAAATGATAGCAGCATTGGTGGGAAGCAACATGCACTAATCTCATTTGGAGTTTCATTAGGAGAAGTATAGTATCCAAAAAGAGGTGAAGACCAAGACATCGTCTTTCCGGAGAGACATTAACAAACTGGGGCTCTGTGGCTCCAAACTAGAGGCAGTGGTGACAGTAAAGGTGGGAGAGGCTTGTCTCTTCACAAATTGTTGAAAGAGCTCATCCTATGTAATAGTGAGTGTATGCAGCAGACACTATGGCCCCCAGCAGTCAGAGAGTAAATTAATGTCTCAATGTGGTGGACCAAATTATTGTTTGGAAATTAGCTCGAGATTTTTCTCCAAAAGTGACCACAGAAGCTTGTAAATTCCAAATACGAGCAAGGTGATTTCGGGGGTGAACAGAGTCAGGAACAAGGTAACAGAATGCAATCATAACTAAGCTGAAAATGGGAACACTACGTAGAATTCTGCATAAAGAGAGAATGTATTATCAAAAGGGAGATACTCAGCATAAAGACTAGAGAAGGACACGTGAATTGGAAAGAGTAAGCATATGTCGCTTCCCAGAAGGAAAGGGGAAAATCATCAAACTCTGTTTGCTTTGATTGCCCTCTCATCAAACCACCTACTTATAATCTGGTTTCCCATGTAGACTCCCTCTCCCACACTCCCACACCAACCCCAGTCCGCTTCAGTCAGAACCTTCACTCTGCTCAAAGCCTTCTTTCTCCTTCGATATTCCAGGAAATACGTATTTTCCCTATTTTTATGGACAGGGAAACTGAGGTTCGGCTCTTTAGTGAGAGAACCAGACGTAGCTGGCTTTTTACCCCATCACATGCACAAGCACAAGGCCGCTGCGAGTCTAGAAGCGAATGTTGCAAAGAAATCAAGAAGGATGAGGACTGAGGAAAACGAACTTATACTTAATGATCTGGGAGGCTTTTCTGTTATAAAGTGTCAGAAGTCAGGCTGCACTAGACTAATAAGCAAGAAAATAATGAAGAAACAGAGGAATCAAGCGTAGAATGCTTTGCCAAGAAATCTGGCTGCAAAAGAAAGAATGATGTCATAGAGTCTGTTTTCCTTCAGCTCCAATGTGATCTTCCTGCCACCCATTAAACTCTGGGAAGTATGTTGATTCTGCAGACAGCAAGAGGACAAACTGTAAAGATTCTCCAGCCACAGAAGTACTCCAGAGAGACAGATTCTGTGTAAAATGTAGAAACTGAGTCAGGCATCTTCTACCCATTTCTTCTGTAATTGGACATGTGGGAGCCAAATGAATGGGTTCTCAGAGTCTATTTCTTTTGTACTTTCGGGATACATTTTTCATCTTGAAAGCCAGTGGGAAAAAATCAATTCAGTTTACAGGGTTTTAAAAATCACTTTTCTGGAACATATTTATTTAGCTAACTGACAATTTAATAACAAGCTCTTGGAAAGATGGCATGTGTTTATATGTGAAATGATAAAATGAATTTTTTTCTTTGTTTTAGCAATTAAACTTTTCTCCTTTCACAGACTGATGTGTCTTTCTACTGGTGTTCATAATGTTTTAACGTGAGTTTACCTTGTACTGATAAATTTTATATTTAAAATCTGAGGTTAGAATCATGGGATCCCTCTCAATCAATTTTTTTAATCATTTTTTTAATTTATTTTCAGCATAACAGTATTCCTTGTTTTTGTACCACACCCAGTGCTCCATGCAGTCCGTGCCCTCTCTAATACCCACCACCTGGTTCCCCCAACCTCCCACCCCCCCGCCCCTCTTCAAACCCTTCATTGTTCCTCTCAGTCAATTTAAATACAAGAGAATCCTCAATCTCGAATTAAAATTTCTGTTTAATGTCTCAAAAGTATAAGAAGCCTCTATCACAGAAAAATTTATACTTCAGTAGAATTTATAGTAGGGGGTGGGAGAATAGTACATAGTTTAAAGCATATTTCATAGCTTTAAATGGTGCTAGAAAAAAGCATTCCAGCCATCTAAGAGGCAAGAGCATGATTTTTTTTTATGATGAACTAGGTGATAAGGAATTTTCAAATACCAAGGTTTCATTATGTTTAAGCTCCAGATCTTTTCCTTACTGTTCACAGTGATATATCTGTTGGTATAGGAAAATGAGACATGCCAGAAATTCTGACTAGTGATATGAAGCAGAAACAGGGAGCCACACTGCTAAGCTTTTACCAAATTATAGTTGGCACATGGGGAAAGTGTGATTTGGGCCAATGTTTTCAGTCCTTCTTAGAACCAAAGTTTGCTAACAATTGTCTGTATCTTTCTTCTTTTTTTTTTTTCTCTCCCCATGTCTGGAGTTTGGGGAGAATGCAAATAATTTTATCTGAGGTTTTTTTCCCACCCTTTGGTCAACAGAAAACTCAAACATTTTAAATTTGAATTCATGAGGTTACCTGTCTTTTTTTGAACAATTTATTTCTGGCTTTGATATTTTTTATTTTATTTATTTATTTTATTTATTTATTTGATAGACAGAGATCACAAGTAGGCAGAGAGGCAGGCAGAGAGAGAGGAGGAAGCAGGCTCCCCGCTGAGCAGAGAGCCCGATGTGGGGCTCAATCCAGGACCAGGGATCATGACCTAAGCCAAAGGCAGAGGCTTTACTGAGCCACCCAGGCGCCCCTGGCTTTGGTATTTTTTTTAAAAATCCTCTAGAAAGTAAAGTGTGTTGATCTTTCAAGAGTACTATACTGAGCAATAAAAATTGATTCATGCTCTGTGAGAGAGCATCATTAGGCTATATCATTGAACTGCAATATAAATTAACCTTATCACAAAACCTTTGTGCAATCCTACTTTTCTTGATTTACAATACGAATCTGTTCTTGTTTTACCATGCTCATGGATAAGGAACTCCATACAGTAAACACACTTGTTATGAATGTGTATCTAGAACTGTGGAAAGAAAGAGAAAGGAAGGAAGGAAGGCAGGAAGGAAAGAAGAGAGGAAGGGAGGGTGGGGAGAAGGGTGGTGGCAGGGAGGGGAGGAGGGTGGGAGGGAGAGAAGGAGTGAGTTAGTTAGTTGAGTCTAAAAAAGGGGGTCATAGCCGACCCCTGAGGGCAGTGAGTCCCTACTCCTTGCCTACTCCTTCAACAGTGAACAAATGTCTTTGATACTTTCACTGAGTTGCATGCTGCGTAGCCTGGCCCACAGTTCAGAGAAGCTCAAATCAACGTCCTCAGAGCCCGTGGTCACTGTCTGTCCTAGTGGTGGATGTGCTTACCCATACTCATCTTGATTGGCAGGTTTTCTCTGCTTGCTGCTTCCACTAGATGTCTCCGGACTTCCATCACTGCTTCTTTGTGCCTGGTGCTCAGTAAGGCTTCCCACAGAGCTCTGGCAGCTGTGTCACTGCAATAAAACCACAAAAGAGCTTTAGAATAAATGTCTACTGGATAATGAGAAGAGTCAAAAGCAAAATAATTTCTTAAATATCCTTTCTGAGCACTAGTATAGCCTTTCCTACTGATAGGCTTTAAGTATTCAGATTAAACGAAGAATATCTAATCCACTTTACTCAGCACAAAATATTGAGAAATTAAGGAGATAATAAAATCAACCCCCCCTTTTGGGGGTAGGGAGGAGAAAAGCTACACTGTGCTATGAGAAGTGTGAGAAAAGTGTATGATAAAGTGTTTGGAGATTTGCATTCAAAAATATTTCAGAGTATAATTCAACATTGCTAGAGGAACATATAAGTGGCTTGTAAGACAAAATTAAAAACCTGTGTAAAAATGATATGTCAGTGATTATAAGCATACCCATTTGAGATAGCATACTTATCAGGGGAACACAAAGCAAACATCAATGAGAATTCCTGTTCCAAAACTACTCAATAGACTTCCTAATGAATGGGTTTTGTACTGAATGAAAGTCAGGAATTAGGCTAAGTGACTGTGGCCTTAAGTAGCCCACTTTGGGCCTTAGGTTATAAGGCTGGCACTTCGGAAGCCTTTACAATTAACCGTTGATCCAGCACGAAGCAATGCATTATGCACGGTCTCATCTGGGCTCACTTTTCCAACAGCCCTCTGTCTCACCCACCATGCCATGCCCAAATTATAAATGAGTACAGTGTTCTGTCCGGAAGATCTCTCATGTAGCCAAGTATACACGTTTGTAGCAATGCTTTAAAAACTGAGTATAAAAAAACAAAGATGACGTCTGTCCTTTTCTGAGGACATTTTCCCTCCACTTGAAGCCCCACAAATACCTCCTACTATCCAGTGAGGAATAGTTTGAAAATGAATGCATTTTTGAGAGGTTAGTTTTAAAAAGTTATATCTAATATGACATTCATTTAACTTTAAATTTATACCTAATGAGGTATATCTTTCAAGTGTGAATTTCATTTAGAATAATGGAATGATGGGTTCCAGCACTGAGTTTAATATCTGGCACACAATAATCTTTCATTAATTAGTACTGTTTCTATGATAATTTATTTTTTCTGAATGAACTATCATCACTGCTCAACATACTCTACTTGTTTTGCTCTTATCAAAACTGTCATCATTATAACTCAGCATCCTATATTCTAAGTTTAATTTAAATGAGCCAGTAAACTATCCGCCACGTGCTCATCTCCGTGGTTGTAACATAGATCAAAATGAGGCACAAGCTCAAAATGAAGCTGAAAAATTATTCCCCCCCCCCAAAAAAAATGTGATAAGAAGCAGGTCCATGCTTGCAAAGATTTTTCTGGTAGCACAGAGCAAGGGCTCTAATCCTGGTGAGGAGGACCAGGACTTAAAGAATGATTTCCACTGGAAATGATGAGCAAGTACAGAGATATGTAAGCTCTGAAAAGCAGCCACGGCAAGAAGTTGTAACTTGGTCTGGGAAGGAAAACGGTCCAGTCTTCAAGGAGGATATAAAAGCTTCATCACAAAACAAGAAAACAAGAGGGAGAAGGACATTTCAGACATTTTGTTTCAATACAAAGTCCCACATACATAGCACTGAAGAGTACTGTTTTACTCCATGCCCGGATGCAGGGGGAGGGCAGGAGGAGTCAGGGAAAAGGGGGAGGACGGAGCTACTCTACATACAGTCCTGCATTCCCTGCCAAGGCTTATCATTCTGCGGGTGACAGGAAGCCAAGGAGTGTGCAATGGACTTCACATTCTGAAAAGAGCTGCACAGCTTAGCAGTAATGAAAACGGTCTTTATCATCATTCAAAATGAGCTCTATATCCTATGGGGCTTTGGGAAGACTATATAACGTCCCCAAAACTCTGAAGGCAATAGAGAACCACTAAAGTATTCTGAGTGGGGGAGGTATACTTCCAGGTTCCCCAGCTACAGTCGACAATTGTTCCTTATGTTTGTTCTCCCAAAGCACCTCTCCCCAAATCACACAGATTTCTCATGTATCTTCAACTCGACACACAACTTCTAGAGTCGAACCTCACTGCCCTCCTCTTTTCTATGAGAGTATGCATTTTGCTAATACAGAGTGTCTCTAAAATCACAGTGGGTTATGTAATACTGTGGTTGCCCCATGGGATTAGCATAGTAGTTAAAATGTGGGATTGGGGAGGAGAAAAAAAATCTGCATTCAAACTCTGACCATTCTTCCCTTTACCCCTAACATCTACACAGTCTCTCTGATCTTCCACAGGCACTCCAAGCACAGGGACCCCTTCTCCTCCTTTGCCAGGAATTGTCTTCCTTTACAAAGTGTCTGCTGAAATGTCGCCTTATCAGAGAGGTCCCCCTTACTATCCCGTATAAAGAAGTGACGACAGCCCAACCTGGCACCTTACCCTGGCACTCCTCCCCCTTCCTGGGGCTCACGGTTCTACATAATCTTTATTACTGTCTGGCCGAGTATATCTTTCCATGTTTATCTGTTTTTTATTTATCTTCTTCTCAGAAGGTAAGGTCCTTCAAGGAATGTAGGGGTTTAGTTTTACTTGTTGCTAAGTCCCCACTCCCTAGAACAGTGCCAGGCCCCATGGTAGGTATACCCAGTAAATACTGAATAAGTGAATGAATAGTGCTTGCTTGGTGTTTCACCTTGTGCATGTAACTAACTCTGTTTTCCTCCATCTTTTCATCTGTGAGACAGAGGGAACGACAGTGACGACCTCAGAGGACTGGTGTAAGGGTTAAATCTGATAATACACCTCCTGATTCATAATAAATGTAAGTTGATGTGTTTGTTGTGATGGTTGGGCCTATCACTATGATACTGTCTTAAAATTCAATGTGTTCAATGGTTTGTAATATATTCAGCGACTTCACTTAATGACACTGAGTATTTTTTTCATACAATCCTGATTTGTTCATATCTATTAAAGTCATGTGGGGCTTGTACTCTCTGGCTCTTTTCTGTTGAAACATTTTTACAAGAAATACATAAGGTTCCCATGATCTCTAACACTGATACAGAGTCAGGTCATGCTTCCCTGAAAACTGTTTTGCTTATATAAACAAATTTGATTGTCTAGATACGTGTGACAGTTTCTAATGTTTCTTTCTGAATAAAACAGTTTCCTAAACACACCAAACTGACCCCCACATCATACATGGTCATTTTAGGCTTACCAAGTTTACATGCAGGAACTAATTCTAGCTCTCTGAGCGACTGGCACTGAAGAGGATTAAATTGTACTTACTGGCAGCTCTGCTGTGTCCTGCACCCACTTCTGCTCCAAGTCACTCTTTTATTGCCATGTGATGGTTTACACACTGAATTCTTATATCAGCATCTGAGTTGAGTGTGGGAGTTAATCACTGCCTTTCTCTAATATGCTCATAAAAATTGATCCAATAGGCATTTCATACCACTGAAGTTTCACATGAAATCAATTCCTGGTGTCAAATGTTGTAAGTCAAGAGAGGTTAATTAAACCCACATGATAATCATACTAGTCCATTTAATGTAATTCTTTATCCTTTCCAACTGTGCAAATATTCTGTTTTCCTGATGATGAATAAACAATACACAGAGTACTATCACAACAGAGCCAGTGTAATAGACTAGTGGTAGGCAGATCTGTAGAAGCATGCATTCTGGAACCAAACAATAAAGGGTCTGGTTCTGTACATTAACCCAGGAGAGTTACTCAACATCTCTATACATGTCTCCCCCTATGTTAACTTGGGGATGGTAATAGTCCCCAGTCAGCAGATTATTATGAGAAGGTACTAATATAACCAGAGCACCTAGAACAATGCCTGGCACATACTAAGTGTTCAATAAACGTACCAGTAGCAGCAGTAGTGGTAGTGATAAGAAAAACAAACAAACAAACACCAAAGGTCAGAATTTTCTCATGAGATATAGAAGAAAGCTTATTTGGAAATACAATTGTCTTTTCCATCTATTTGCATACATGTATGGATAAACACTGCCTGTAGCTTCATTTTCTAATATGAAAAGGTTAATAATACATAATACACAATTCATGAAACACATACTAAAAACTCCAACTCAAGCAATCCTCCTGTATATGACATCCTGAGATAAATAATTTTGATTTTCATAAATAAAATAGGAACCTTTTCTATAGATTACTTCAAGACTTACAGCTATAGTAAGCAAAAAATTTTAAAAGAAATAATCTAGTTTAAAAACAGGCAGAAAATATGAATAGATGTTTTTCCAAGGAAGACACATGGATGGCCGAAAGACACATGAAAAGAAGCTTAACATCACTCATCATCAGGCCAATACAAATCAAAACTATGATGAGATACCACCTTACACCTGTCAGAATGGCTAAATTAAGGAAGGTTTTATGCAATGACTTCTGTGCCAGCTTCTTGCCTCATTAATTATATTGAAATTCTGCAGACTGCACACAACAGGATATTTTAAAACTAGAATTGCTACTTATAGGAGGAGTTCAGATTCCATAAATATTTCCAGCCTGACTTACAAAGTGCATGTATGATTTCTGGGGTAGAAGTGAACATTAAAGGTGGTAGTAAATTAATCATCTTTATATCTTCAGCAGCACACTACCTCACCCAACAAACACATGAAAATCTGTTTTTGGTTTTGAAGGCACCTAAAGAAAATTTTATAATATGCCTGAGAAAAACACTACAGCTTCAAACAAATCAAACTGCTATTAGATCCTACTCATACCTAATCTAAACCCTTTGTGCTTGACTATTAACCTACCTCATCTTGCTTAGTCTTCTGTCTTAAATTCAGGAAAAGCTGGGCAACATCATTTTAATCATGAGACCCACCCCAAAACAGTTTGTTGCTTTATTTCATGGCTAACTTAAGACAGACTTCTGAAATGTAAATAAATATAATATTTTAAAATACTTTTAAATACCACCACTACCTTCTCTATTAGCACTTAGGAATCTACAAAACAATGTATGTC